AAACCCTAACCCTAAACCCTAACCCCTAAACCCTAACCCCTAAACCCTAACCCCTAAACCCTAACCCCTAAACCCTAAACCCTAAACCCTAAACCCTAAACCCTAAACCCTAAACCCTAAACCCTAAACCCTAAACCCTAAACCCTAAACCCTAAACCCTAAACCCTAAACCCTAACCCCCAACCCCCTAAACCCCTAAAACCCTACCCCCAACCCCAAAACCCAAACCCCAAACAAGTTTCCATCAAACGAGCGCTCATCAAACAAGTTTCCATGAGGATTCCTAGATGCAGATCAAATCAAGAACAAATAAATGATAAACCACATGTATTTCTTCAAAAACAATAAATTTCTTCAACTATAACATTGTTATCAGCAAGATATGGGATAATAACGAAAATCATAAAAATTCAAGCATTTTTACCTTCTATTATTATCATCATATAAAGTATAAAATTATGAAACTTGCAAAGTTTCTTCAATTATCTGGGTACTTTGTGATAAAAGACACTCAAAGAAATAATTGCATGCACTATCTATATAGTACATTCCTCACTTTACTCAATGTTTTCATCATTAACTTATTAAATAACTAAAAATTTAATATATCAATGATAAATATAACTAGTTTATGGGTTGACACTCTACAGGGCTTGCAGGTTTCAATAATATTGTAAAAGAAAATAGCGTTGATACGAGAACCAAGGGGTTCCTTTTCTGCGGGGATTAGAACCCATTTCTAGGTTCTCTCTTTCTCTCTCTATAAACTGAAAGAAAAAATAAAATGGAGAAGAGAATGAAGATACCCATTTCTATCGGTTGATATATTTCTAATCTGCTTCTCTTTTCCCTTTCTATTTTCTCTACAAAGTTCTGGATATTTTGAAAGAAGAGAGTGTGAGGTTTTTTAAAGGTTCTAACTAGAATTTGTTTTTGGTCAATTATCTCATGACACTCTAATAAATTAAATAATTTGTAATTGCTGATGATGTTATACTTCAAATCTGGTTCATTTTCACTTGCTTAAAATCAAATTATGAATTGGACCGTTATACTCTCTTTTTTCCACTCCCTTTTTTCTTTTAAAATTCAATCTCTCTCGACCCTAAACAAGTCTTAGGTTTTTATAGGCAGAAAATGATGCAGAGGTGCTGATGGGTATTTCAAAGGAACTACTTGGCTGGCTTTATATTGCTCAATTTAATTTATATGGTTCAATGCAACGAGAAGTTCAACTCTAATCTAAACTTGAAGAGCTAAGTGACAAAGATGTTATACTTCAGCAGCTTGGAAGAAGAAATGAAGAACTTGAGAGCAGCAATGCCCATCATGCTACCATAATTTCTGAAGTTCTGATCTTAAAGGAAAAAGCAAAATCAGTTGAGGAACAACTGAAAGATACTGAATTCCTTCTATAAAATAAGGCAGGAGCAGCTTGATGAGGAAGAAAACATTATCGAGGTACTAAAGAAAATATTTATGAGGCAAAGTAGTTCCTAAACCCCGACCACCAAACCATATCTACTTCCACATTCACAAAATTAACAAGATATCTAGAAGAATTTTAACAAATTTAAGCATGTGTATTATAATTTTAGATTATGATGTAAAAATTATAAAACAACAAATAAATACAAGATTTTTTATAATATTCAAAAACAAAAAAATAAAGAATTATAAAACACTCACAATGGGCAGAGATTTGAAACTGCTGTGCCCGATGATCCTCTACGAGCAACAATAGGGGAGACGACCATTCTCCTAGAGCAACGCAAAAGTATAGAAAAACAAATCAATAAGAATAATTATAAACCACATATTTTTCCGTCACTATAACTATAAGGTGAGGACCAAATAAATCAACAAGAGAGCAATTGATTTCACTGCCATCATCCTGCTAATAGTCAACTTAAATTTCCTTATAATAGTTTCATAGGATTAAGCATCAACATATCATAGATAGCCGACTACATTGAAATAATACATGCAAATTACTTTACTCCTTAAACTAGGCATGTAAAGTACTAAATAATATATTAATTAACCAAAAATATAATTTTATGTCTTAAATTAAATAACTTAAAAATAAAAAATAAGAGATTAAAATAAAATATGATGATTATGTTTCTCCACATCTTCGCCACGTGTAATACATGATTGTTTTAAATAAATTAAAACTACAATCACATATACGCAGCAAAAAGGAGATATTTGACAAAAAAGAAAAAGAAAAATTAACAGTCTATAGGTGTGCACCTGCACCCTCAACCCTGAACCCTTAGACCCCAGCATCTAAACCCTAAACCTTAAATTAATATGGGCTTCTTCTTTTTTCTAGCTTATTATTTCTTACAAAATTATTTATTATTTCTAGTTATTATTTCATATTTGATAATCATTTTTTTCTCATATTATTTCTAATTTGATAATTCTTTTTTTTTTGTTTTTTTCTAAATTAATTTGGATGATTTCTTGTTTCTGGATGCAATTTACTAATTTATTTTTTATTTCTAGATTTCTATATGTGGGCTTATTTCTAAATTAATTTCTGTTTAAATCTTTTTGTTTCTTTTGAATGATTTTTTTGTTTCTGGATTCAATTTACTATTTATTATTTCTTACTAAATTAATTATTTCTAAATTTCTTTATATGAGCTTCTTTTTTCATATTTGATAGTAAATTTTTTTTCTGGGATAATTTCTAAATTGATAGTTCATTTTTTTTTATTTCTTTCTATTTTTTTGTATTATTTCTAAATTGATAGTTATTTTCTTTTTTTGTTTCTTTTTATTTGATTTATTTGTTTCTACATTTCTTAGATTTTCTATGATAAGAAATTACAATCAGTTTTTTCAGTTCTTTCTATTAGATCTAAAGAACCATAACTGCCATCCACTTTCACGAAATTTAAGCATGTGCAATATAATTCTACAATACCATGTAAAAATGAACAAATAAGAAATAAATACAATCAAAAATTGAAAATTAAAGGATTATAAAGACTCACAGTGGGCAGAGATTTGGAAGTGCGATGCCCGATGATCTTCTACCATAACCAAATTATTTATAAGAGCAAGTAATACAGGTTGCATGAGGATGACTATAAGCTGCACGAGCGAGGAGGGATGACCTTTATCCTTCAACCACGCAAAAAATATTAGAAAACAAATCAATAAGATACGGATATCAAATCAAGAAGAATTAATGATAAAGAAAAACCACATATTTTACCGTCAACAGTCAACTCTATATGCATAATGAGGTGCACCCGAAATCTTATCATCCCATGAGAAGATGGAGAGGATTGAGCTTCAACTCCTCCAAAGCTTCCTTGATGCTCCCAACCCACGGTACGCGTAAAGCTTGTCTCCACAACCATCTCACCGTTCTCCATCTTCCCCGCTTCACCCATGTCCGCCATTGACCCATCAAATCTAATCCCTTTTAACAACCCAACAACACAAAAAGAAATTTTGAAAAAAAATTAATGCTAGGTCAAAAAATATAATAAAACAAAAAAAGATCACTGAGAGTACAAAAAAAAAAAAAAAAAGACAAATAAAAACAAAAACCTTTAAAAGGATTGGCATCATTACGTGTTACAAATGAAAGATTTAATGGTGGAAGATTATTGAAGACAAGAGAAAGTGAAAGAGAAAAGATTTTCAGAATCTTTTGGAGGAGGCAGTGAGCAGAGAAAAGTTGGTGAATGATTTCAGCTATAAAATGGAGCCAAAATCAAGTGGAAATGGCACGATTTTGGAGGGGAACGAATAAGAGAAAAGAAAGTCTTTTCTTTTTTCTTTTTTTTTCGTGTCAGCTCTTCCTCTTCCCCAAGCCGGGTGCAGGAGAAATTGTCAGATGAATACGTCCCGTCATCTGTCAGCGTAAAGGTTGAGAGTTTTGCCCGTTGTGTTCTTTTACTTACTCTGGTTAGTGGGTAGCTTCAAAAAGGGTTTTCCATTAGTTTGATATTTATATATATATATATATACACACACACACACATATACAACATTTCTTTTTCGAAATCCAACGACACCAACAAGAGAGAAAAAATGGCAACAAGCAGGATAATAATTATTCAATACTTGAACTAGTTTTTATTGGAAAACTAAAAAGAAATTAATTGAATATTTGATAATAAATGGTGCACTTTGTCAACAGCCACCATATTCAGTTTCAAATAATCCTTTGCAATAATGAAATTCTGTACACACTCAACCACAGTGGCGGCAGAGGTAGATCAGATGTGGCTGCCCCAGCACGGTCCTCTACTGTGGCAGGCACGCCAGATGTGACAATGCGATTGACGTAGTCCATCTTGTACGTGTCTACAAATCATTTCATTGCTCGGGACTATTTTTTGAGAGTGGAAGCCAAGAAATGTGCTTCTTGGCACTCATTTTTGTAGACATACAAATTGATGATATATCACGAACATTAGCTACTGTACATCTCTCTCTCGCACTGCGCTTGTTGTTCAAAAGAGGGTTTATATATTAAATTGTACTTTTTCAATTTTATTATCATTTTTAAAAATTTATATATAATGTTGGAACCGACATACTTTTAATTATATGTTAATTTAGTCATAATATAACAATTATGGTATACCTCCCTATAATTAAAAATGCATAATATAAATTGATATAAATTCAACAACTTGTGTTTATGAGATATTATTTTAAAAATATATAAAATGAATAAAAAATTTTATCAATATAAAACACAATATCATATCATATTAAATTAAACCTGCTATAAAATACTTGTTAGATAACATTTTTTTTAAGAATATTTGTTGTATGACATCTAACAAATATTTTATTTTATCAAGTGTTTTTGAGAACTAACTCCTTATTTTTGTAATTAACACTTTATCCAAATGTTTAATAGTCTCTTTTTAAAATTTTATCTTTTAAATACCCTACTGCTTTATGCACATTTTCTTAAAGCTATTCCAAACATCCTCCCCTTTACTTTTATTTTATTAATTCTTTCAATTTTTACCTTATTGATCGGTCAGCTATGTAAATATCTTAGTTATTATCTTGAACCCAGGTGGAAAATCATATATAACATTTTAGTTACAAAAATATTGGAAAATTAAATAAATTATAAATGACAAGCATGGAAAAAAATTGTTATCAACCTAGGTGCACCTCGATTTACTTATTTTATGCTTGCATGTGCAAAAATAAATTTTTAATTTTATACGGGTTTTAAATTTAGGAAACTTAAAATGGAATCTCAGGACTTGGTCTTGTCGAAATGACGTACTCAAGTCCAGAGACTTGGTCATCTCTGAACAGGTGCCCAAAGGGTTTTTCTCAAGGTGTTGCACGTTGCAGATCGCAAATGAATTGGAACTCCTGCTTCCTTGCCTACTAATTTGACTAATAACATGCAATAGAAATGGAGGAATTCGTTTTAACAATTTGAACTAGCTTTCTATTTATCGAACTTGCTGTCCTTTTTGGTAATGTTGAAGCAGATAATCTTTTCAAAACAGCCAAATACTGGCCTATGTGTTGGATTGAACAAAGGCCATACTGTAACCAAAAAGGAATTGGCTCCTTGCAGAGTAAGTTGCTTCTATGCCTTTGAGAAGTTTCGTAGAATACTTATATTTCTTACTTCTATTTGTTGTGGATGTATTTTTCTTATTTTTATTTTAAGCATTTGATTTTTATCTAGGGATTTTATGCTACAGTTCTGAATGTTCTGCGACAAATTCTAAACCTTAAACCATAAAAATTAGTGACTACAATATCTTCTTTTTTAAGAATTTCGAAATTCAAAAAGCTTCATTTTACAATTTTTTGACTTGTTCTAACTTTTTTATTCTATTCTAACATTAATGCCAACTTGATGTTGTCGCTATTCAGCAGTAAGTAAAACGTTGCTGAATTAACTTTTCTTTTTTGTATTTTAATTGGATCACTGGATGAAGAACGAGAGTAAGAGTTGAAGAAGGCAAGGATGACTATCAAATTCAAATCATTCAAAAGCAAGTCTTTGAGTGCCAACAAGTGAAGCGTACAGACCTTTCATAGCTAGTAAATCAAAATGGGTACCCAGTTCAACAATCCTTCCAGCAGAGCAAACCGCAATTTGATGAGCATTCTGAACCGTGCTTAATCTATGAGCAATCACTAATGTTGTCCTGCCGTTCACTAGATGGTTCGGAGCTTCCTGTACGAGGCGTTCACTGACTGCATCCAGGGCACTTGTTGCCTGTAGTAAAACAGGCGTTAGACAGGAGTCAAATGAAAGCAAGCCATGACCAAGAAAGGGAGATGTTTTTTTTACATCTTAAAGATATTTCTAGGATGATGCATGGGCGTAGACAGAAACCTTACTTCATCAAGGATCAAGATTGGTGCATTTTTCAGTAGAGCTCTGGCAATAGCAATTCTCTGCAGATCAATTAAACATAAACATGAGTCAATCACCTGGAGCTCCTCTGTCTCTCTCTCTCATATTCGCACCCATTTATTACCTGTCTCTGTCCTCCACGCTCGCCAACTAGTGTGTCATAACCTTTTTAATCAACAAAAAGAGTCGATAAAAATTATAAATTGGCGGCAGGAAGAAAATAGAGGGGACTATTCTAGGGACAACTGACCTGTGGAAGTGAAATTATGAAGTCTCTGCCTTTTGTGAGTTTTCATAATCTTTTAATTTTCAGTTTTTGAATATTACTGAAAATATTGTAGTTATGATTTTTACATCATATTAGTTAATATGGCTAATAAAGTTAAAAATATGATATTTGTGGCTATAGTTACAATCAAGTCTTTATTCTCTCATCTTGAAAAGCTTGGCTTGTCATTATTCTCTCTTTTTCTTCTTTTTACATAACCCACCTAATTATTTTGTTATATTTAATAACACAGTGAGTTCACTTGCACCATCAGGAAAGAAATGAGGAGACAGACCTTCGAATTTAACGTATTTGCTTCAATGCTAAAAGCTAAGGATCTTACCTCTACCCACAAGCATAGCACAGTTGAGAATATATCAGGTATAAAGTGCAGGTACCTAGGGAAATCTGATCATCCAGTCCCAAAACGTAGTCCATGTCCAGGATGATGGGTTATGCTCCGGTACACCAGCAAACCAGACGCCAAGCCCCAAGCCCCAAGGTTTCAAACTCTCTTTGATGAGCTTGCATGTAACTCACTATAGATTGCTCAAGGAATCACAATAAGGGAAAAGCAGATCCAATAACAATAAATTCTGGAGAATCGCCCCGTGACAAAATTCTAGTATCGAGGACATAACACTTCTCTTCATTTTTTTCTGTTCTTTTCTTTTTTTGCCTTTCTTTTCTTTTCTTTCATTTCTTTTATTTTATTTTAGTTTCTTTTCCTTTCATTTCTTTTTCTCTCCTTATTCTTTTCCTTTCCTTTTCTTTTCCTTTCCTTTCCTTTCCTTTCCTTTCTTTCCTTCTCCTTTTCTTTCCTTTCCTTTCTTTTCCTTTCCTTTCCTTGTCCTTTATTTTTTTTTTCCTTTCTGTCGTTTGCCTTTATTTCCTTTCCTTTTCTTTTCCTTTCCTTTCCTTTCCTTTCCTTTCTTTCCTTCTCCTTTTCTTTCCTTTCCTTTCTTTTCCTTTCCTTTCCTTGTCCTTTATTTTTTTTTCCTTTCTGTCGTTTGCCTTTATTTCCTTTCCTTTCTTTCCTTTTCCTTTCTTTTCCATTCCTTTATTTTCCTCTCCTTTCATTTCCTTTCCCTTCATCTCTTATCCTTTATTTTCCTTTCCCTTACTATATTTTGTATATAATAAAACAGTTAACAAAGAAACAAAATTTACCTCACCATTGGTTGTCGATCCATTAGGAGATTGTGAGGCTGAAGGTCCCTGCAACGAAAGGACAATTTCCTGTGTCTGATTTAAGTGAAGAATGAAGAAAATACCTGTGTAACATTCCATGAGCGTGGCAGAAGGCAACACCTTTACAGAGTTGGTACATCGAGCTCTGCAACATGTTAATTATATTTCTTGTTATCTGACATAAAATTTGGAAATTTATGAAAAAATAAACATAAAACTTGACATTATCCGACCATTTTAGCGAGATGTTCTCTCCAGTTTGACAGCAGCTCTTAAGGAATTTCTTGAGATCAGTGTCCAAGTAATCAAAAACCAGATAGCGTACTGTCTTCCATTCTTTATTCTATCCTTGTTTGACATAAAGCAATCTGAACAGAGCATGGCAAGAAACAAACATTAAGATCGAGATGTTGAAATAAACGTCAAGAACAAATTGCAAATTTAAGCAGGAAAAGACCCAACAGATGAAATTCACAGAGGGTGGCAATTTAAGACACAAAAGCCTCCGCGGTATCAACGGATAAATTAAGGGTCGATGACTTTTTCAGAGGTACATATCATAATAAATAAAAAAAAGAAACTGCGTTTCTAGCTGTTGCGGTTGTAAGAAATACAAGAAGAAAATGGGACACATCAAGATCCCAAATGAGAAGACTTTAAACCTTTCAATTAATAAAACAAAACGAAAAGCTATGTGGTAAGAAAATAAAAATCTCAAGGCAAAGTATCGATTAGGAACTCTAGGGCTTATGTTGTGAGACGCACATACAAGATTTTCACTGGGAAGAGTGGGTGTCAAAACCGATCGCCCAAGATCTTAAAGAAACGTTTCTTAGGAAGACCAATAACAGAAGAAGTTCTTCAAAATCAAAGAAACCGAGAACCTCTGAAAAAAGCAAATCAACGCAGATCCGGTAAGAAAGACGAAAAGGGAAAAGGAAATCAAGCGGAGAGAGACAAAATAGGGTTGTTACCTCACGACGGGTCTTCTCAAGAGCCATGATCTTGCGGGTAGCCTTCTCCATCACCCTGTAAACCTTCCTGTATGTACCCTCGCCAACTTTCTCAAGCTTTTGAAAGCATCCATTGCCGATGTTCCCGTTGGCTTCTCCATTTTCTTTCTCTCTCTCTGTGACATAAAAAACTACTCTCTCTCTCTCTCTCTATGTATTTATCTTCTTTGGCGTGAGCATATAACCGTTAAGCGGAGCGTCGTTCATACGCAACGGACCCATGTTTGCCATTTTTTTTTTTTTTGAAATTCAAAAACATGAGTCGAACTTTAATTTCCAGAAATCCGCTTGTGTCTACGCTCTCGGGCCTTCACTCGGTTTAAGGTCCAAAAATCAAAGGCTCTTCCAATTGCGGCCCATCATCCCACAGCTCCCCCACCACCCACAAAAAACAATTAGCCTACGAACAACAATTATACATTGCTTGGTAATTTAATTAAATTGAATGCTGCTTGGTCTGAATTGAAGCTATATAATTGCTTAAACTAACTTAAGGTCATATAATTCAAGTAATCGGTTTGGGTTTTGATTAAATTCAAGGATTTAATAACCGTAAAAAAATTATATATAAAAATTCCTACTTACTTAAAGAACCCAACTCGCTATTTGCTTACAAAAAAAAGAAGAAAAAGAAAAAAGAGTTACAAGTGCAAACGTTGAAGCAAACCAAAATATTCTCTACACTCAGTTAATGTACAAAATAACCTATTGAAAAAGAATTTTACAAAATTGCAAAAGGTAAAAGTATTTTGTATTCTATTGAATCGCCAATCTTTGGAGATGATCCAGGAATACCTCAAAGCTTACATCATCAGTGAAAATAATATCTCCAGTAGGAAAGGAAGCATCTGTATTATATGTTGCCGAAGGATTCAACTTTGCCAGAAGAAATCGAGCCTGCATAAATATTGTCCGCTCAAAATCTAAAATCTCCATATCTCAAAATACATTCATGACCTAGTAACAGATTCTAAAAGTTTATATGTAAACCGACTAGCACTTATGTTCTATCCCAACCATAAATTTGGAATAGCAGAATATATACCAATCGATGAGGAGATGTATTGGAGGTTGATTGAGAGACTGACATATTTGTCTCGCACAAGACCGCATATCACCTATGCAATAAGTGTTATAAATCCACTTATGCACAATCCCAACAAAGTGAACTTACAGGCAGCCTACAAAAATATTGTATTACCTAAAATAATCACCTAGTAAAGGGATCTTTTACTCCTAAAAAGTTTATATGGGTGCAGATTATGCAAGGTCAGTAACAGACAGAAGATCTATCACAATATTATTGTATCTTCATTGGGAGTAAGTAGGTTATCTGGAAAAGTAAGAAGCAAATTGAAGTTACAAGATCAAGTGCACAATTAAAGTTTCAAACAATAACCCAAAGGTTTATGAATCAACATGGATAAGAAGAATTTTAGAGGATCCAAAAACATGTGGGATATGCGCCTATACTATAACAATAAATCGATCATAAGCATGCACACAATTCAGTACAACATAACCTAACCAACATATTGAGATCGATAAACACTTTATTAAAAAAAAAAAAAAAACTCATGATCAGTTTAAAGGCTTGAGCCAGATCTAATTTTCTACGCTATCATTAGCAAGTTGGGGATGGACAATATCTATTCTACAACTGAAGGGGTCGATTAAAGAGTGTATTTTATATAAATTAGATCAAACGCGCATTAGGGTAAAATACACCCTATATAAATAATTAATTTTTTTTATTCTTAAAAACCTACATATATAAGATCATAATATTTAATAAAATATATGTTTAATCATTCTTAACAGATACTAACTTTAAGGTGGACAAAAAACCTTCCAAAAACAAGTACCTACCAAACCAACATTCTCCTTTAGGATTCAAGACAGAAGTAACGAAAAAAATTGCACGTATAACTGACTGAGGAATCTAAAGAGCAAATCCTACTATCATGGTTGAAGAAAGAGGAACAGACTCGAGAACCTGAAGCAAAGTGCTTCACAATCATAAAGAGTTTTATGTATGCAAAATTTCCAACGAAAATGACAATATTGACCTGGAAACAAGAGATATGACTAAGCCAAGGGTCCTTGTGAGAACCCTTCCAGAACAAAATATGAGAAACGTCTCCTACTTTCAACCTCACAAAAGGGAAAGACATAAAGTTGACATACAGCTTTCTAAAGGCTCTTGTGAGAATAGAGACTCTAGATTTAGTGTACAATCCGTCTCTATGCAGCTCAGACTTGCTCTTAATCACCCTATGCCACAAAGAGTAATGGTATTGGGAACTAGCATTTCAGGTGGGAACTAGGAAAATGGAAAAATAAATTGATGCAATAGAGAGCTAGGGAGAGGAATATAGAGGATGAATTCTCACTTATGACACTGGAAAAAAGGAATGACGGTTAGCTGGGTCATTTCCCTGCCAGCCATGTGTGAACTATTGCTATGTCATTCAAACATGTACAAGATTTAACCCATCAACACCCAGTAAAAATTGTTAGTACTTCCATTTAAAATTGGGTTAGTTTATCACAAAACCAAAGTTCGATACCTCATGGATGCAGGAAGTATTACGTCATAATTGAGAAACTTCCAATAAGTTCAAGGGAAAATTTTAGGCATCTGGCAAAATTTCAGCATGGCTAAACGCTTAAGGCAGCCAGCAAGCATAGAGTGACATACCTGAGAACCATGCTGATCACAAACAACCAGACGAGGTACTGGAAACCTTTCCTTGACTATTGCGTCTGCATCATCACGAGGAGCTTGCAAAAGATGGGCAAATGCCTGCAAGGAAATAAATTATGGGAGAAAGAAGGAAAAGCGAAAAGACCATTATGCTCTACATCCAGTTACTCCACTAGTATTATTATGGTTTGCATTAGCCCAGCTCTTTGCAAGTTTTGGGAGCTACCACTTAAATAGAAAATCAGAATTCTTAATTCTCTCGTAGTCTTTCGACTTGACAGAGAAGATGCCTTACTATTCGGAACATCATGAGAACTGAACAAATTCAAACTTGCAAAGGAGATGCAATGTGCTTCTTCTCCTATAATTGTTTCTTCTCCTATGATATCTACAACCAACATTTAAAAGACTAAAACCAGTCCCTGCCTACCTGTATGATAAGAAAACTGTCAACACATCATCACACATCTTTTAGGAATTCAGTAAACAATAGAAATTTTTGCAGAAACATATACATAATCCAGTGGAAATAGGTATGACAGAGGATTGATTTCAGAACGAAGTGTGTAAGCAGAGTCAGAAGCAATGAGATATAAACCATCTAATAAGCTTTAAATTCAAATTTGGCTAATTTGCTTGGGAGGCTTGCCAGGAGAAGATTTTAACCACTGATAAGCTTAGAAACAAGGGCTGCATGGGTGTTATTGCTGTCTGAAGGGAAGGAAACTTGTAACCACTTATTATTGTGGTGTCCTATGCCTTATGGTTTGTGGTCTTTTATTTATGGATTAGTGGGCATTAATTGGGTTATTGCGGGTTCAGTGGGGGATGAGATATGGGCTTGGGATGGTTTAAATGTTAAAAATACGTTAGATAATATGATCCCATTGACAGTTTTTTTTGGTGTTATGGAAAGAAAAGAATAGCAAAGTGTTTGATATTGAGGTTAGTAGCATTATTAGGTTAAAAGATAAGTGGTTGCATTATTTTGGGTTTATATTGTTAGAGCATGATATTATTGAAGATGTAGATTTTGGAATTGTCATTGATTCACTAACCTTAATATAAATTTTTGTACACGGGCGATACCCCCATTCTTGGTACCTTGCTAATACACATTTGATACTATTTATTTCAAAAAAAAAAATTACTTAGAAGAAAAATACAAAGTAGATGAAGACGACCAAGTAATAAAAAGAAGACTAAGTAATAAAAACAATAAGAAGAAGAAGAATGGGAAGACTATGTAAGAAGAAAAAGACTAAATAATAAGAAAAAGTAATAAGAGAAAAAAAAAAAAGAAAATTACTAAGTAATTAAAAAATGAAAAAAAAAAAGATAAAAAAAAGAAGACTAAGTAATAAAGGGAGACTGTATGACCACATCTGGAGGGTTTCTACATGGAAGAGAGAAACATTCCAAGATTGAATATGCGGCTGGGGGGTTTTTAAGCCAGATATGAAGGCCAGTTCAGCTGCTACCAGTGGCCGGCAGCAGTGGCTGGTGGCTGGTCTACAGTGGCCAGTTATGAACTCTGACCCAACCGTTCTAGGGTTTTTCTTGTTTGTTTCGGCAATAAGTTTGTAATTGAGGCTAGAGTTTCTTTAACCTATGCTCTGATACCATGTCAAGAATGGTTTAATGTACATTCTACTAAATATTGTAACCTTATATACAGATTTTCTAGGACAAGAAAAGAAATAAACAATTAATTACAAAAGGAGTAATTTACCCTTATCCCCTTTAACCTAGTTTATCCTTTCTTTTGACAAGAAAAAATGGACTTGATATCTTTGATGAACACTCTTGACAACTTTTACCCAATTCATAATCACACTCGAAGCCTTGAGTCATCAACTCATCACATGTTTAAATTTGTAAGTCTTTTTAGAATTTTCTCATTGGCAACACTATAAACATTTCAATGTTTCGTCTTGTAGTTGTTGGAAAGTGAGAGCTCCCTTGAAGGTCAAACTTTTTGTTCAGACTATTTTGTTGAATAGGATGGACACTCATAATGTTCTCCAAAGTCGAAAGCCTCATAAAGCTCTTTCAACTAGCATCAATTTGGCATGTTGTCATAGTTCATGAGCAATTGTCACATTTTTTTATGTTGTCATAGTTCATGAGCAATTGTCACATTTTTTTATGTTGTTACGAGGCGTGGATTTGGTGGACTGTATTGGCGTTTTCTTTTGGTATGAATTAGTGTATCCCTCTATTCTAGAAATTGTTATATCTGCTGCCTTATAGGATATAGGAAGGACCAGAGCATAGATTGTGGCAGAGAGAGGTTATTTTGTTCATTTGTGGGTCATCTGGTCGGAAAGGACAACTAAAATTTTCAAGCATCATCTTCAACCGATAACATGATTAGACAAAGAATTATTTTCTTCACTTCGCTTTGGGCTAAAGCTCTCAGTTTCTTGCACCGGGATCTGATGTTCATTTTGTCTATAAGACTTTTTACATTCTTTTGTATTTCGTTCCTTATTTTTTCTGGTTGAAGGATCCCCTACTCTCTCCTCTTTTGTTTATTCCATTCCTCTTCAATAAGTTTCTTCTTTTATCAAAATGAAAAAAGTTACTTTGTCATCAAGAAGCTACCTGATGTTCAGGTTGATGATGGTATCCAGCTTTCCGCCACTGAGCAATGGTTGCACCGTGGAAAATAACAATGGTGAAATATGAATCCAAAAGCAGGATCCTGTCAGCTGCAATGGAGGCTACATCGAGAAGAGCGGGTTCTGGACCCGAATGAAATGAATAAGAAATCAAGGAAGGTTGTATCATCACAACTGAATTGGCAACATTTTCCCGGTTCAGGATCATTCGGAAGTATGCTGTCTCATCTGGGCTGTTATTAAAAACCTAAAAGAAAACTGATCACCAAAATGGAAAAACAAAACTAGCCCAAGCGTATATGAACCTTCTTATGCTTATAAGTTTTTTTTCTTAATTTTATAATCAGAGTTCAAGGGATATGTTATTTGAAAGATAGAGGACACATGTACCTGGACAAACTGAGAACGGCGCAAGTGAAACATAAACTGTGGGAATATTGATATCCGCGGAGATAAGCTAAAGGAAGATGGGCTATCCTTCTGGTAATCCCCAAATCGAGAACATACATGGATCAGTGCTTTATCCAACCATCTTATAGGATCAAATTCAGCCTGCAAGTCAGTGGCATGATGTCATAAAATAGGCCAATTGTGGTTAATGGTTATTGCATAAGCTGAAAATTATAGAAACAGAGAGAGTAAGTGCACAAACCACAAGAAGCCACAAAAACACTTACCCCCATCCCTAGCAACTATGCCAACCTCACCTAACAAAGACACTCGAATTTACCCAGTTTCATCCGTAACAAAGATTTTCAGAGGATTAACTATCCTGATGCTCTTTTCAGTTTCTTCTGAAAACTAGTTTTTCAGAGCATTAACTATCCTGATGCTCTTTTCAGTTTCTCTTAAAAACTCACCATATAATTAAGGAAACATCTGATGCTCATTGGCAATGTATAGAAGCTATAAATAAATCAAAGATGCACCATCTAGAAACATAAAAGGATTACTAAATCGGCACAACTTGTACTCTGTGATATGTAGGTACAATAAAGTTCACCCACCTTAAAATTTACGGAAATATTAAAGGCACATGGTGCAAAAAAGTCAAGCATTCTTAAGGACTTATCGTACATATATTAGTGCACACTGCAGGTGCTTCGATGCACAAATACTTTCAAAGATGAACACCAAATTACGTTTTATAGTGCCTAATTTCAGTTGCATTCAAACACAGATACTTGTCAAGAATAATATAACCACAAAAAGTTCAATGTTGTATTTCATGACGTCTTTAATGCAATACCATCATGCACTTCTGCCAATTACCATTCAGTTCAATCAACTTCCTTTTGTACAGTACAGTACCTCATCTAGTAAACCTCCCTGAACGAGTTATGTAAAAGGAAACTTAAAGACCAATAATTCAGTCAGGAAAAAAAAATAGAGAGAAAGAGAGCGAGAGAGAGAGAGAGAGAAAGAAATTATTCCTTCTCAGGCATTGTCATAATTCACCTTCCTTTAGTTCTGTTGACAACCAAAGTAGACTGAAATCTCAGATAGACCAAAAGCACACTATATAACATGCAGATGTTACTCAGAAAAGATTCGGCGAATCACCAGTTCACACTACACGTAACTAACTAGCTAGCTTCCCATTATAAATCACAGTCCTCCCAAATTTGAACAAAGATAAATGACGTCTCGATATCGTTTCAAAAACATACCTCAATTTCCATTTTGAAAGAAACAAGGCGTGCCATGACTACAGCAGCTGCTTCTTGGTCAAATCCAGCAATTAAGTCCTACAGAATCAAAAGCATATATAAGAACCAAAATTTCAAATAAAAATTTAATTGCTAGCCTGGACATACAAGTACTGAAGAAAGAGATATAAAACAAGAAAAAAACCATCCTCCTTATCAACTACTGTATTAACAAACATGCTATAATCAAGTTCATCGCCGCTCTACCTAAGCTGTTACTTGGCTACCAGATAGCCACCTCATGCCACTTGGCTATAAGGTATGTCCTTCACAGGTAAATCTTGCCACATAGCTACCTAAGGAATAACTTAATCCACCCAGCTAACCAAGCAATATCTAATGCCACCAGGCTACCCAAGTTGAGATAAAAATGTACACGTAACCCACGAGCACCCAAGCCAACTCCATACCTCAGTGGAGCTCTCACTAGCAGAAATCACATACAGGCTCCTACAGTTGGGAGAATATGTGCCTATCGTTGAGCCTATTCTCTTTTTCTAGTCTTCCTAACCAATCTGTCGAATTCTTACATGGGGACCACTTGGTGCTTTTCCACCTCCTGGATCCACATCTACCATTCGCATTAGCACAAAGTTGTCTTTCTCCATAATTTTGGTACTTACATTTTCTCCGCCCATGAGCAACTAGTGACACGTTTCCTTATATGGAGCTATAATGATGTTGCTAAAAGGAATCAAGTCGAGCAGACTCTATGATGTGATCCTAGATAGCATGGAACATTCAAGAATACTAATCCAAGTAGGACTCACGGGAATCAAGTTTAAATTGAATCCCACCTTTAAGAGTCCAAATCGAATTCTCTTCTTCATAAAATCATATTTTAAGGAGAGGGAATCATAGATGACAAAGGAAAAATCAAGGGAAGAGAAATTCAAGTCCTAGCCGATTCCTCCTTGTTTTTCTACTGAAATAAGAGTTTGTTTCCTACTTCATTATTGGAAGCTTCTTAGATCATCTTCAACAACAAATTAATTAATTATGGAAGCCTAATCCAAGTGCAAGAGGGAGATTGAGTTCGGCCACTCGAAGGAAATCTTTTCGAGGGAGAAGACTTTAAATCCTTCTATAATTATGTTTCCTTAATTTGGAGAGATGAGTGGGTTGAAGGGGGAAAGCTCAGTATTCAATTTCCCCAGATCTATACCATTGCCCGGTGCAAAAACATCACTGTTGAAGAAGCATACAGAGATGGGGAGAGCAACAGGGACTAGAACATCAGTGTTATCGGAAATTGAAGAACATGAGAATCTGCATATGAATAAGAATATGGATCAACTATTGTGGAATTAAAGAAGAAAGGGAACTTCATGGTCAAATCCTATTATAGATACCTATGTAAACAAAATAGGGATGAGGATATCAACTTCCCAGCCAAGCAGATATGGAGGGTGAATGCCCCACCTACCGTAGTTTTTTTCCTTGCGAAGCGGGTAGAGAATGTATCTTGACTATTGATAAGCTAGTGAGGTGGGGTAAAATTCTAGTGAATGGATGTTCTATGTGTAAATAGGAAGCGGAGTCCTATAATCATATTCTTTTATGGTTTACAGTGGTCTACAGTTTATGGACAATAGTTTATGGTATTTTGGGTATTAATTGGGTCATCACAGGCACTGTGAGAGATGAATTATGGGCTTGGGAAGGAATTAATAGGGGGAGGAAAATTGTAAATCTCATTCCACCTGCTATTATTTGGGTTGCTTGGAAAAAAAAGAAACCAAAGGGCTTTGAGAGGATTGAAAGAGAGATTGCCAGGATTAAGGATAGATGCTCCGCTATATTGATTCTTTGTGGTTAGGTTATGATATTAATAGAGTGGAGGATTTTGAAAATTTTATTGATATACTAACCGATTTGTAAATATTTTTGTACATGGGTTGGCATCCTTTGGTGTCATTGTGTTAACATACACATTATACTTCTTATTTAAAAAAAATATATGTTATCTACAACTAATAAAGAAAATCAAAATAATAAAGACAAACCCCAAAATATAAAAGTACCAAAAAATCATAGTATTACAAGAATATTTTCTCAGTAAAAGTGATCCATTTTAACTTCTCTTCCTTCTAATCAACAATGCATATATCTTACTTCTAAAATGAGCTATAATGTGGAAACTGAAGAAGCTCGACAATTGGAATGAGCTTACTGTACCATTTAATCTCTTTCAAGCATATTACAGCACAAGCCTATTCCATACTGAACTGGCTAGAGACCAGACATACGCATAATTTAGGGAACAATAAGAAATTCCCCTGAACTTCAGCTACCACTCTTACTACATAGACAGTAAAATAAAGCAGAACAACCACCTAAAAATCAACATAAAGAAGAGAATTAGACTTGCCTGTGTGCTTCCAGGTCCAGCCACCCACCTTCTGATAAGAGTTGTAACACGAAGTCTCATT